AGTTTTTGCACTTGTTTGTAAATTCCCTGACGTCCATTCCGATATTTCAGCAATCCTCCTCCAGGAATTTGCTGACATTTGAGAGCACTTATATCGAGGCCATGATTGTTAGTCTCATGCTGATGAATTCAAAAAAGCAGCTGGAAATGTACAAGAGGGAAGCGACTGTGCCGAACGGGCCAGTAACAATAGTGGCTGTGGGCTTCGTTGACCCGACGTGCTGTTAGTTACATCGGAGGTGTTTGCGGTCATGACGTAGATTTCTCTCGCTGAAACATAAATCCCCACAAAGAGAGTGATTGATACTGTTTAACCTTTTTCTCACCTCCTACTCAACAATGTGTGACAAACTAAATCTGCACACTGTGGTTTAAGATTTTTTCAGCATAATTCATGATTCCGTTTGATTAATGCAAAGAGGGAAATGGTTTATTTTACGCTGTGCATTTTCCCCTTTGATGGAAGGAAGTCTGTTTTGACAACTCAGACTTCCTCGTATTTTCTTCTTGCACATTTGCTCAAACTGAATCTTGATATTGTGGATTAATCTAAGAACTCTTCCTAGATGGAAGATAAAAGTCTGTGGCTTGAGATAAATGAGTTGCTGAAAGTCCTAATTTGGTCATGGGCTCTGCAAAATCCTCCTTAAGTAAATAGCATCATGATTAAAAAAAAAATGAAATGTCGAATAAGTTTTGGAACATGCTTTTATGCATGCTTTTTTCCCTTCTATTTAAAAAAACCAAAAACGTTTCACATCTGCTTTCAGAGCTACCACGGAAGAAGCGGCTGATGTTTCTTTGCAGAGTAGAAGTGGAAGTCAGCTTCTCAGCTTTGTACTCTAATGTTCTCGTAGCTTTTGCCACTGTAAAGACCACAGGCCCCCATACCCAGGACTGCGTGGTCACACTAAGCAGTATACCTGTAAGTATTTCTTATTTTCCACTTCACTGTCAGACTTTTTCACCAAATTCGGCTATCCGAACAAGCCTAAGTAGGCCCTGGAGTACAAAGGCAGGGGCATTGTTAATGGCAGTATGTCTAAATTGCAATACACTGAAATGTAACTGTTACATAACTGCTTTTGATTTTTGGCAAAGCCTATCAGTAAACTCAGGATTTGGATAAAATTCTCAGCTTGTCCCTACACGACAAATTCCACATGGCTCATGGCAAAATGCTCGTCAGTTTCCACTAGACAAAATGAATTTCTCAATGATGACCATTCACACCCACATTTCACATGTGTGAGGAAGTTCTGCCCATATATAGGCTTCCAGCATGCTGCAACCGCAGATGACTCAGGAAGCAGTAATGGTTATGAGCAGCTCTGCTCTTGTGAAATAATTCCGTCAGTTTGGCTGACTTTGACTCTTGCGTAATCCTGACATCTAGTGGCTGATTTTTGAATGTGATACTGCACTTTTTTTAGCAACGATTCAGTGCCAAACCACTGTAAATACAGCTGTTTATTTATATTGATGAAGATGGTTTACATATATAATAATAATAACATTATTTGTGCTTTTAATCCTCAGACAATGGAAGACATATTTTCCAGGTCTGGCAGGTCAGAGGAGATGGACTCACTACTACTTATGAATAATGTTAACCCAGACTGTACTCTGAGGCTCTGTGCTCTTCAGAAGCTCAAGGTATGTCTCCATATATCTATACTAATACCTTTCTCTAATAGTGTTTACTCCTTACAATAATTGTTTTTGTTTTTTTTAGGAGTCTATGGTCATAAAGGTGGATCTACACTATACTCACAGAGACAGTAAACTGCGTCAGACAGAAAGCCAGCAGGTGGACATAGGAAAGCCTCTCGTGGCTTCCTGCAAGCTGTACAGGAGGAATCATGGAGCAGCAGGCAGGACACGAGAAGGCGCTTTTGCTAAAAGCATGGGCAACATCGCTAGCAGCAATCCCCCGCTGCATCAGACTGGGTCATGCCGCCCTTTCACTAGAAAGGCGGTGTGTGCTGCTAAAATTCCTGTTACGTGGAGCAATGAACCTGAAGAGAATGATGAGAACGACTTCAGCTGTCCACATTAAAACTTTCTGGTACTACTTTTGTAAATACTGGTTGGAAATCTCTTGTTTTGTTTACAGTTGCTGTAAACATGTTTGTACTTGTCTATGAATGATGATGATAATGTATAAGTGAGTAAGTGATTGAGGTTTGTTTTTGTCTTACCAGCCTTCAGCTGTTAGATTAGTAGGCACAATAACACTGTAAGCTGATTTTCATCATAAATTATATGCTTAGAAAACATTAATTGTATATAACACTTTTGTTTTTTCCATCAGTGGCAAGCTGGCTGGCCTAAATTATTAAATGAAGACAATACTGTCAGTAATTTATCTAATGAAGAATACTACGTTGATCACTTTTTAAAAAAAACAAAAACAAACAAGCAATTTATTATATCAATATGTTTTGCTGTTGAACTTTAAAATCTACATTTTAATTGTTTTGGGGTTGTTGTTTTTTTTTGTTTGTTTGTTTTTCTCAAGGAGCATTTTCACAGTGATGCTTAATTCAAGTTTGTAGAATAAATTAAAATATGTCAGTTTTAACTTCGCTAGTACTGGGTTGGGCTGTCTTTTGCCTTTGGATTGTCTAAATTCTTCATGGCATTAATTCAATAAGGTGCTGGAAACATTCAGTTAATATCTGTTGTCTGTCTTAAGTCTTAAACCTAACGTACATTATCAGATTGTCACTATATTTGAGTAAAATTTGCTTTTAGCTCAAAACGAAGAATTAAAATCTCAAGTAGCTGCTAAGTCTGGAAAAATCAAAGTAGATTTTTTTTCCTTTAGTGCATAGCCTATACCTAACAGATAAATTAATTTTGTCGTATACAGTCTAAAAAATGCTGTGGGTTGCATTATTCGATATATTACTTTGCAAAAGTCTCAAGCCACCCCTCAGTTCTTTATATTGTTTTCAGTAAACTGGGATATGGGTGCTCTGATTTATTGGAACATGGAAATACAGCAAATAAGACAAAAACAGAGTTTGTTCAATTCTGTTGAGCTTGAAAGACAATATTTGCTATGATCACCTTTATTCATCGAAAAAAGTCTGAACTGTCTTAGGCAGCTTTCTTGTAATTTCTTTAGGTAGTCTTCAGTTTATGATTTCATCAACTTTGTTTTTTTCTGTTTTTTTTTTTTTTTTTTTCATATTTCTTAAGAACATGAGTTTGAGATACTGCTCATCTGCCATGTTTTTGTTTTGCTTTTTAAGCTCACCACTTCTGCCTTCGTCCTCCACTTTTTCAGTTTCCTCTTTTTAAAATGTTATTTTAGTGCAGCTATAAGCCAAGTTTTCAGCTGTCAGGTTTTTGGGAATCACCTTGTTGGTGCAAAAAATATCTTATGGATCCTGTCAAACTGTTCTATCTTTGGCAATTTCTGCAGATTCTGGTAAAGAAATGGGAATAAATTATGTGTTTTTACAACAGGCTGCTATAAACAGCTTAAAAGTGCTTAAAGATGCAATTTAAGATTGCTGAGTCTGTCATTTGTAGACCCAACACTGGTTTGTGCCTTTGGCTAGTTGCATTTTCTTATGCTTGAATGGTTCACTGGTCAGTGTTAAGTGGCAGAACAAGCAAATGGAACAATAGAACAAACAAAAAACCATGGTCTAAAAAAAAAGCTGAAAATGGTGTGAAAATGAGTGTCCAAAAAACTTTGACTCGAGATTATTGCTCAAGATCTTCTTTTTTTTAAACTTACAAAAAGTCTGGCGAACTGGAAACAAAATAGAAATAAGGGGTGACTCGTGAGTTGTATAGTACTGTACTTCTACAATAATGTGATTACATTTTACCATATAGCAGGTGGACATAATGCCCACGGGGGGGCAATTCTAGCTCTCCGACTTCCTGCATAAGAAACGGATATTGTAGTCTTGACCTTGCTAGTAAAAATATCAACCGCACTATTAATTATTGTATATATGTGTGTGTTTATTGGTACATGCTTTTTTTTTAATCTCAAGTAGTCTGTTAGTTATGAAAGAAAATGTAAAAAAAAAACAACCCCAAAAAAACAATTACAATTGCAGCTCAAAATAGTCTAGATCTCCTCTAACCTCTGAGCAAGGCACTTTCACCAGACAATTTAGATTTGTGATCCAACAACAATTAGCTTCAAGTGTTTGATTATGAAAAACTCATGTCTTGGACATAAATGTGGATTAGTGGATTAGGCGACGGTTAAAATAAACCAATTTTCGACCTCGAAGCATCGTGATGACGTACTCTACTTAAAGACAAAAATAAGCGGGGTGCAGTCAGTCCCCGTTAGCTCGCCGTGATCGTATAGTGGTTAGTACTCTGCGTTGTGGCCGCAGCAACCCCGGTTCGAATCCGGGTCACGGCAGAGATGTACGTCATCCTCCGGACGGTTTGTTTTTATCGATTTAAATTGTTAATACACTCTTACGCCACTTTAACGTGATTTTGTTGTTGTTGTAATACAAGCTTTGCATTTCCGTTTTAGGCTGACGAAACATTTTCACTCAATTTGCTTGCCGCAATGACAACGAATGGCCTGCAGGTGGCAGCCCAACACATTTAATATCCACCACCTGGGAAGTTGTGTGACACCCGACGCCGCTGGTTTTAGGTCAGCCAGGCAGGAGCAGCTTGATTTCTCTCCAACGTTTCATCGTGAACCTGAAGTCTACCTCCAAAGACCCATTAAAGGATTCACACTGCTCCTCGCACAGCATGATTTGGGTGAATAATTTTAACTTCATACTGAGGGAGTGATAAAAAGAAGCTAACCTTTTAAAAGTTTTTTAATGCATAATTGCTGGTCATGGGAAAATTAGGCGTAAGAAAAGAAAATCAGTATATACTGAAACTTCACACTCCCGTTGGCTCTCTTTGACGTCAGTTTTCATTTGGACCCGCCCGCTTGCTCAAGTGGCAGCAGTGAATGGTGAGAGATAATCCTCAGCTCCACACAGACACACACACAGAGCAGCAGGGCTGAGCAGCCTCTGGATCTGGATGCGGGCATCCTTGGATTTCGCTCTCAGCACGGGCCCACAGCACGGAAAACTTAACGGGACAACAATGGTGCTTGCCTCGGCGGCTGAATCCGTGGCTGCTGGTCGTTCAGGGGACCGGGAAATGCGGTCAATGTGACATTCACTTGCATGCTGGTGTTCGAGTTTATTGTTCTGGTCCTGTAGACGCAGAGCGGCGAAACCTGGGAGAGAAAGATGTTGAGCCGATTTATGAGTGGCAGCGTCAGGAATCTTGAGCGGGAATACAACTGCACGGTCAGGCTGCTGGACGACACGGAATATACGTGCACCATTCAGGTTAGTCACCTGTTTATTCAGTCCACAGCGCGCTGCGATTGTGTCTGACCTGGCAGACAGAAAAGCAAGTGTTTTATCAGGGGGGGTGGCAGCAAGTGCCTGAATGCCCCGCTGCTGCTCCTGCTCCTGCTGCTGGTGTCAACCAAGATAAATTAGACCTAAAATAGAAACGTGTAGTTATTTATTTTGCCATCCCGAATAGGCTTGTGCAAACCTTTTTTCTCCCCCTTTCATGACCTACTATTACCTCAACCATCAGAGAATTCGGTCGTGGGATTAGAGACGTCAGGGAGCCTTGTAGTACAGACATAACTCAAGCTCTGATTGAGTGGTTGCCAGAAGCTCACTATCCTCTTAAAGTAATGAATGAAAGCAGTTCCCCTCCCTCTGTATAATAATAATAATAATAATAATAATAATAATAATAATAATAATACTACTAATAATAATAATAATAATAATATCCTCTCCAATCTTGAGAAGGGAGGCTGTTGGTAACGCTGTCCATGCAGTTTCCAGCAATGCACATAGGGTATCCCATGAAACATGCCCCCTCAGTTGCACAATGTGCCACTACACTGATAAAACCAAAGATGTGCCATGTGCTGTTGATGCAGGGTTGGATGTGATGATTAAATGGCTGCAGCTTCCCGGTGTTCACGAACGGCACATGTCCTCTTTTAAGAGGGATTTTCCAGAACCCAAAACAAACGATTGATATTGTCAGCGCAGGCATATTTCTTTAAAAACTTAAAACAAGCCCAGGCCCTGATCATAATAACCGTCTTTCCCTCCCTTTGGTCTCTCTCTACTCCCAGCGTTGCTTTGATGATGGTGGTGCAGTTTTATGTTCATGCTGATTTTAGTAGTAGGTGAGAGGGCCTGTCACTTCAATTACAAGACAGCGGCTGCTCTGTTTGTGGATGCTGTGGAGTTGTGGTGAAGTGATGTAAGGAAACCCTGGGAGAATTCTCCTGATTAGTCAGCGACATGTAGATAAACACACAGCAAAACCATCTTGCAGCATACCGAGGAATTGTTTAACCTGTAATGGGAACAACGAAACCCTAATAAGACGCGTGATTGTTGTCACTTTAGTGTCTGCTGTCACCAGCGGGCTACAGAGCCACCACTCCTCTTTCCCCCAGCGAGCAAGCGTGAAATGCAAACCGCAGCTACTATAGGATCGTGACTGTGTGCCCAGGTTGTAAACAGATCTGCATTTCTGCTCGGAGAGCTGAGCAAGACATGGAGCGGGGCCAGATGGACTGTGAAGCCAGCAGGTGTGCTGTTTGCAGCAGAGTCGTGTGGTCTAGGGGGCTGACGTCACCAGGGTGGAAAAGAGAAGAGTGGAGTGCAAGAGGAGAATGCTGTAGCTCTGCTGTGATTGTCTGGCATCCTGGTTATCTTTCTGCCTAACCTGGCCCAGGGAGGGAGGAGTAAAATCCACCTGACTAGCCACATCGGTTTCATGGCCCACCAGGAAAACAAAAACAGGGGATGCAAACTAGCTCAGGTCATATACTCGTTGAGCCTCTCTTTTACCTGATTTTTTTTTCAATGCACTTTCAAACTTTTCAAAGGCTCCATATTCATATTTTTACCCTTCTTCCATTCCCTGGCATCCAATCAGGTGACATTAATTCAGTGGAGTGTAACCACCCCCATGGTGTCTGCATAATAAAACCACCTTCAGCAGAAATTAAAAGCACAAAGTACGCATGCACCAGAGCAAAGTAGGGCACCAAGGGCTTTCAGAAGAAGGGCAGGAAATGTGTCCGTCTTTTTAAAGCGGTGGCAGCTGTAATGCACGAACATAAGTTTTGCTTTAATGAATTATGGATCTTTCCACTATGTTTGGGAAGGGAAAGTGAGCACATCTCATTAGACCGCCCTGTAAGATGAGTTCTTGTCTCCATGCAGGTTGATGGAAGTGCCTGAAATCCTCTTTGCCCTCAGGCTTTTTCTGCTCTGTGATTTTAATGTTGCAATACAATGTTGCCACACAGAGTCAGCCTGAGAATTAGCTGTCTCTCATTTTTGTCATTTCCTGAGAATAAAAGATGAATCACATTTTAAAAAAAAAGCTGTATTATTTTTCAAGGACAGTGGGTGTGCCCACTGTGAAAAGAGAATATACTGTCATTTTTTTTTTACCTTCTACTGAAGCAAAACTCCAGCATTATTATCAGCTTACAGTCGTGTAGCTGATATTGCTTTCACACCATGAACCTCTGTGTGTGTGTGTGTGTGTGTGTGTATGTGGGGATATAACACTTGTCACTGGGAAAACAGATTTAGGTCCCGGTAATATTATGTCACCTCTAAAGGACATCACTGTAAAATACACCACGTGAAAAGGACCTTACACCCTCTTTCAGTTCTATGGTTTTATGATGAGGACATGATGAAAAAAATCATCTGGTCCTAACAGTTTGAGAAGTGGATAAAACCAACCTCCAGTCAACAACCCCTCAAGGAATATTAAACTGTGTCATTATATATTTAACAAATTTTATCCAAAATGTAGAAGCAGAATGTGAAAAATTAAGTACATCCTTACTGTTTTCCATAGAAATTTAGGCAGCAATTAGCAGCCAGGTTTTGCTAATCAAATGCACTTGATTAACTGATCATCAGCAAGAGTGACCACCTTTTTAAAAGCAGACGTTTTGTCAGTTTGCTGGTCTGAGGCGTTCAGGTGTGTGCTAACATTATACCAAAAAGGAAAGACATCAGCGATGAGCTTAGAGAAGCAATTGTTGCTCACCGTCAGGTTTGGAAGGGTATTAAGAGCATTTCCACACATGTTTGAAGTCCTTTATTCTACAGTGAGAAAGATTATTCACAAGTGGTATACATTCAAGACAAGACAGTTGGCTATTCTCTCTGGATGTCAGGAAATTCCTCCAAAAGTCAGAGAAACTACAAAAAGCTACATCTCAGATAATGACAGAAGAATTATAAAACGACTGATAAAAGATGGCTCTTCTCTCTACAACATGGTAGCACAGATTAGGTTTGCATCTAAAAGAACCACAAGACCTCTGGAACCATGTCCTTTGGGCAGACAAGAGCAAAGTGGACATGTTTGGCCATAATACAAAGCACCATGTTTGGCAAAAACCAAACACAGCATATCAACTGACAAGCATGGTGGTGGAGGGGTGATGATTTGGACTTGTTTTGCAGCCACAGGACCTGGGCACCTTGCTGTCATTGAGTCAACAATGAACTCATCAGTATACCAAAGTATTCTAGAGCGTGAGGTCATCTGTCCAAAAGCCAAAGCTTGGCCATAATTTTGTCATGACAGTGATCTCAAGCTCTAAATCTACAGCTCAGTGACAGTCCATCTCAAAACACCATTGAAATTTCCTGAAATGGTGGGACGTTAAGAGAGCTGTGCATAAAGAAATGCCCACAAACCTCAATGAACTGAAGCAATGTTGTAAAAAATAGTGGGCCAACATTACTTCACTACAATCCGGGGGGGCTGAATCGATCCATCTTTAGTTTAGTGTCACAGGGAGCTATCTCGTTTATTTTGGCTGTTAAAGAACAAAAAAACACAAGCATATATCCATTAAGTTGTTATAGTATGAAAGGTCGAGACTGCTGTCCTGTCCACAGACAGGAGAGAGACAAATAGCCATTGGATCCAATTTAGAATTTTCAAACATGACTGATTTTAGACAGTCGGAGGAAGTCAAAGTATCTTAGGGTGCCGTAGCCATCCAGTACATTCAAACTCAGGTCCTCCATGCTGTACGTGCACAGTGCTAACCACTGTGCTACCAACGTGACTATGAATTCAATTTTATTTGTAGTTACAGTTTTGCAGAAGTCCATTATTTACATTCTCTCTTTGCAGTCTTGTTGGCCACTTCTGGATCTGCAGATCTATCTGTGGTGGAGGCTGTGGGTTGACAGTCAGACACACACTGCTGGCTAGGTCCCCCCACCATCTCCACCATCTTTTTAGTTGAATTCTATTTAAAGTTCAAGGAGTGCAGAAAAATGTGATTGCTTTTTTGGCACAGTGGAGCAACTGCACAACTCCTCCACTGATAAAGTAAATTATAGCTTATCTTCTTAGAAACCTATGCTTATCCTTTTTTTTTCTAACAGCTGTTTTGTTATTTGAAAACACAGCCAGTCGCTCACAGTCCAGTCTCAATTCTATCACCTACGAGAAAAAAATATGCTAAGAAAATAAAGAGTTTGCTGAAGTTTTATATTCTTTAACCAAAATGAATACAAAGTGAATACAATCAATCCTCTGGAAGTTTTCCTGAGATTTGCTGACCTCTTGGTGAGGAGGCTGCAGGGGGATGGTAGCCTTATTGAGGGTGCTTCACTTTGAAACACAGTGCCAGCAGCTCAGCTGTTGCTACGGGGACTCCACAGTTACTCTAACAAAATGTGAGATCACTCAGTGGTCAGGATTTCTCTTCCAAAAGGCCACAGACAAAGATGTAGCCGTTAGCAGTTACAGGAAGGTAATTTATTCCCTGAGTACTCCCAGAGGACCCTAGTAGTGATTTGACTGTTGTCATGTTTGTCTACAACAGGACTATCATGGGACTGCTCCACTGATGCATATTTACTCTTGTTATTCCCATCTGGTGTTTAGATATTTTATGAAGTCTAAAAGGAATGAAATGGTTTTATTGATCTCCTTATTGCTAATATTTTTGGCCCGTGTTCAAATGCAGTAGCTGATTTTATGCACCTTTTTTCTTGTTTAAACATCTTTGTCAGTAATAAAATTAATTGATGAATTGGTCACTGTTGTGTTTTAGTGGGACAAGTCAAGAATTCTGCTGCAGGAAAAAAGTCTGAGCTAGAATAATACAATCCAACTTTTAATTTAATAATAATGAACAGAGTTATAAAATGTAAATAAACATACTGATATATTGTTTATACCGGTTTGAACAGGTGTTTGATACCATATATTTAATGGATATATTCTTTTGAAATGGTGGGATGTAAAG